CCAAAATGGAAGACTGTTCTGTGGTCAGATGAGTCACGATTTGAAGTTCTTTATGGAGCACTGGGACGCCATATCATCCGGACCAGAGAGGACAAGGATAGCCCAAGTTGTTATCAACGCTCTGTTCAGAAGCCTGCATCACTGATGGTATGGGGTTGCATGAGCGCTTGTGGCATGGGCAGCTTGCATGTCTGGAAAGGCACCATTAATGCAGAGAACTATGTTCAGGTTCTAGAACAACATATGCTCCCATCTAGACGTCATCTCTTTCAGGGAAGATCCTACATTTTTCAACACGATAATGCCAGACCACATTCTGCAGCAATCACAACATCATGGCTACGTAGGAGAAGGATCTGGGTACTGAAATGGCCAGCCTGCAGTCCAGATCTTTCACCTATAGAGAACATTTGGCGTATCATAAAGAGGAAGGTGCGACAAAGAAGGCCCAAGACGATTGAACAATTAGAGGCCTGTATTAGACATGAATGGGAGAGCATTCCTATTTCTAAACTTGAGAAACTGGTCTCCTCTGTCCCCAGACGTCTGTTGAGTGTTGTAAGAAGAAGGGGGGATGCCGCACGTCCCAACTTTTTTGAGATTTGTTGACACCATGAAATTTGGAAACAACAGATTTTTCCCTTAATATGATACATTCTCTCAGTTTAAACTTTTGATCTGTGATTTGTGTTCTATTCTGAATAAAATATTGACATTTGCCATCTCCACATCATTGCATTAAGTTTTTATTCACAATTTGTTTAGTGTCGCAACTTTTTTGGCATCCGGTTTGTACTCTTAGCCTTGGTCGCAGTTCACATTTGTATAATAATGCTTCACCAAACTAAATTAAAATATCAAATTCTCCATTTGGTGCAACAGCTTTTGATCTTGTAGCTCTGTAGTATTTTAGACTACATGCCACTCTTGGCTGTGTTTAAAAGAAATTTAACATTCTAGAAAAGTGCCTCGACTTGAGTGGTTGTGCTAATTTTGGGGTTTTTGTTCTCTAGAAAACTGGAGAAAATCCTGCCCAGCAGCTCTCAGCCGGACGTCAAGCTGAAGTACCTGACAGGAGAATGGTTTTACGAGGCCAAGTCTCGCAGACACAATGATAAGATCCACGGCTCGGAAATCATTCTGGCGGCCATGAAACAAGGAAAGGCAGCCAGTTTAGGTGTGTCGACAGAGGGTTGGTTTTAATTAACGTATTTTTAATCTTGGAAAACAAAATCTTTTTGGGTCATTTAGCATTAACTAGCTGTATAGTTAACCCTGCTCGATCGTGGTTTTCTTTCCCTTTCAGATGGGTCTCCAAGAATCAACAGATCCAAGAAACCCAGCAGTCGAGGCTCAGACGTCGGAGGTCCGCCAAAACCTCCCAGATGTTTTGAGACGTCGGAGCCACAGGATACAAAGTACGTCATCAGTGTTAGTCTTTGTTCTTGTTTTCACATCGTTCTTTAGCTGGAGTTGTTATTTCGCAGGACATGCTGTGATGGGCGTACATTATTGTGCAAAAGTATTGAGGCATCCCTCCTTTCGTTATATTTGGTTTCTAAGAACCCAAACATTCCTGACATTAGTGGAACAACCAGTTTGCCGGTGACAACCAAAACTAGCTGTTCACATTCAAAAGGAGGACCATCAGCTTAATGAGTGCTCTGATGGCCGCTTGCTAATCACAGGAGGCTGAGTGATACTTGCAATAACAGCATTTTAAGAAGGCAAGAATTGGACACGGAGGCCTCCACCCCTGTTTAATGATGGACAGGTTCTCTTCACAAAGATGGCCTCCTTCACTCCTCTTCAAACCATCATTCCTCTCTATCCAGGATGTGAACATCTTCATCCCTGAAAGAGTGACCGCTGGCCTGGAGATGAGTGTAGACCGCAGATTCCTGGCCTGATGATGTTGATCTTCTGTGCTGGTCCATCCTTTTGGCCAGTGGATGTTTAGTTTCCCCGATCACAGCCCTCATGACACTGAACAGCATGCATAACATTACTCTGTTTGTGCCGGGGGACTGGATCTTGGGGATGGACTTTGTTTCTCTGAAACTCCCTCAACATATGGAATGACCACTGGTCTGGGTTCCTCCTTTTCACCTGATGGCTGACTGGAGTCCTGTTTGGGTTTCTTCTCTGCTTTCAGGAAGGCCCAGTTAGGATATCCACATTGCTCTAGAGCCTGTCTTGTGTGGGATTTCTCTTCTGCCTGGCTCCTGAGTTAGTGGGGACGCTGTCTGCTCTGTGGTACAGAGTCCTGATGACTCCTAACTTGTGCTCCAATGGATGATTGGAGTCAAACCACAAATACTGGTCTGTGTGGGTTTGCGATACACATCAGCTATACACTTGTATAGCTGGTATTCTGCTAGCTAGTAATTTTGTTTTGAGGTTACTAATAATTACTAGTTAGTATCTTCAATCAATCAACCTTTATTTATACAGGTAAATCCCATTGAGCCTCGAGGACTCATTTACAAGAGAGACCTGATTTCAACAAAGAAAGATGACAACAATGGACAACAGCAACAACAATAAACAGTTATAAAAACTCATACTACAGTTTTTTTTTTTTTTTTTTAAACAAATAGGATGGCTAAAAGGAAAAAGGTAACAAAACAAAAAAACAGCTAGATTCCAAGACAAATGTAGAAAACTAAAAACAGGAACATGTCTGCATTGGACCCTGCCAGGAGTTATCTTATTAGGAGTTATCAGGATCAGTTATCAGGAGTTAGGAGTTATCTTATTAGCTAGAAACTTGAAAGCTAGTTACTGTGCTACGTTACCTAGTAACTTGTTAGCTAGTGGCATTGTTGTGCATTAGGAGGTAATTTTTAGACTGGACACTTCTTTTTTTGTCCTTCACTCGTTGACTCTTTTCATTTTTAAGCGCAGAGTGAACATTTTGTCGTCATGATCAAGAAATAATGAGTAAAAAGTCCAAAGAACACATCTGTGAGACTTTCAGAAAGCCTGGAAAATTACTGCTAAAGACTATTATCGTATGGGGCGGCTGTGGCTGAGTGGTTAGAGCAGTCGTCCTCCAATGCAAGAGTTGGGGGTTCGATTCCACCAGCAGTCACATGCCGAAGTGTCCCTGGGCAAGACACTGAACCCCTCATTTCCTCTGATGTGTGTCCCATTGGTGTATGAATGTGATAAAGTACTGATTATTCTTTGTACAGATCTAGTAAAGTGCTGTATGAATGGGTGAATGAGGCGCAGATTGTATAGTGAAGTGCTTTGAGTATCTTGATAAGATAGAAAGGTGTACAGTCCATTTACCATTTACCATATTATAAAGGTTACAGTAAAGCCAGTATCCTAGGAAGCAAAATATAACAAATATAGTGGTGGTTTTAATTTTTGGCACAAATTTATATGTTTCCAAAGCTCTAAGCAATCCTTTGAAGAGTTACCTATGTTCAGTTGAGAGATGTAGACTCAGTAATACATCATTTTAAAGGTATTCTGTCAGACTGTCTGTATAAATGTGTGTCTTTGGTGTGCTGAGTGTCTTGTGACTCTTCTTGAGCAAATATGCTCAGGTGGTGCGACTAGAAGCACTCGGTTTTATGACCCAACAGCTACTGCACCACACACACAACACATAAAATATATTAAAGCTTAGTTAAATAATGGATTCTTTCAAAACTAAACTTGCACCTGTGACCTAGTTACCTCAGAGATAGTTGTTTAAATAAAACCAATAATACACTGAACAAAATGTAAACTTTTGTTTTTGCTCCCATTTTTCATGAGCTGAACTCAGAGATCTAAGACTTTTTCTATAAACGCAATCAGTCTTTTTCTATCAAATGTTCACAAATTAGTATAAATCTATGTTAATGAGCACTTCTCCTTTGCCGAGATAATCCATCCACCTCACAGGTGTGGCACATCAAGATGCTGATTAGACAACATGATTGTTGCACAGGTGTGCCTTAGGCTGACCACAACAAAAGGCCACTCTAAAACGTGCAGTTTTATCACACAGGACAACGCCACAGATGTCGCATGTTTTGAAGGAGCGTGCAGTTGGCATGCTGACTGCAGGAATGTCCATGTTCAGAGAATATGGTAACATATATCAGTAACATACATCAAAATAACATACAAGAAAAAAAGGAACACATTGCTAAAGAAGTTATTTGTTGTTTATTTAATGTTTCATCCCAGTAAAAAAAGCAGATGCCGTTTGGATGCAATTGACATTTTTATTTATTTATTTATTTATTTGTTTATTTATTTATTTATTCAGCTTGGATGCAATTGACATAAATACTGTAAATATAAAATTAGCAAATTTTGTTAAATAATTAAACTTATGATAAACGGATGAGATCAAGTAATCATAAGACTAGATGTAGCACCAACATAACTGGTTTGTTCCACTTTGGAGTAAACTGTTTACGGGAAGAATCAGTTTTGTGTTGTGCGTTTCCTTGACTGATGAAGCCTTCTGGATGGAAGGTTAAACATTTCAGAAAAAAAAAAAAAAAAAACTGTCCAGATGACCTGACTGAAAATTGTTGGATTGTATACCTGGATTATTGAGCATGGACCTTTTTGGGTAAGACTAGATGTAGTTGACAAATACGTGAACTTTGCTGAGAAAATGTGTCACAGAATATTTAGTCAAATTTGAGGCATTTTATGTTTTTTTTTTTCTTGTAATTTTCTATATGAAAACCATTTTTATACATATACAGTGAATATATAAATTAATACAATATTTTGTGCTTCTTTCAAATATGCTTTTCCAAGTAAACATTTAACATTTGTATTTTGTCTTGCAGGGATGCAGAAAAAGAAAATCGATATTCACGAGTTCGTTCTCCGAGAATGGTAGGTAAATGTGTTTTAAAAGGTTTTTATTTTATTTTATTTTCTGTCAGACTGCAGCTGTTGTAAATTCTTCTTATTTTTCTTCTTTTCTTTTTCCAAGCCGAGGCACAACCCCTTTAACAATGCTTCCCCTACTACCGTTGACCCTCCTGAAAATATTCTGGACTTTTCAATCCAGCAGGACCAGGACTTAAAGAAAAAAGGTTAGAACTGAGATTTGGACCAGAAACATGCTGACAAAATAAATCAGAATGAACACAGGCCGCAGTGCAAAGTGGTGACATACTGTAAGATTTGCATAAAACCGAGTCCATAAAGACATCTAGCAACGTCAGTAACTAAAATAATATATCAAGGTCAAGGTGTCTTTGTCATTCACACCACATGTGGTACATGTGGTGGAATGAAACTATGTACACATGGTCCCAGTTACATCCAACAAAAATACAAATTGTAAAGAAAAACAGTAATAAGATCTAAGATATGAACTAAGAAATACACTAAATTAAGAATATACTAAGCACTAATAGTACAGAACAATGTGCGAAACAGCAGCACGAACATGAGTCTGTGTGAGCAGATGAGGACGAATGAACACAGCAACATGAAATAAATCAGCGGCATGAGATCAGCATCATAGAGCTTCAAATATACTTTGAAATCAAAGTTTTCTAACAGCTATGCCAAAAAAAGTATTCATTTTAATTCTACTTCTTTATGTTTTCTTTGAGATTGACCATTTTTTATCCGGCTGCTGTAGTTCTGGGAAATCCCTTTGTATAATATTTGGCTTTATTGTGAAGTTTGGGGACTCCCCTGTTAAATATAGGTGTTGATTTCACAATAACGTTATTCTAGACAAATAAAAATTGAGTTTTCAAACTGGTCCTGTCGTAAACAAAATTCGCTTGTTGCTGGGTCAGGTGATAATTTGCCAAATTGCATGAAACTAGTAATTTTCAATATTTTCAGATGGAAAATTTGAAAAAAAAAAAATTCTCATTGTGTCTTTTTGCCAGCGTGAGTAACATTTAGAAAGCTTTCCATGAGGTGTTGCGGTGCTTTAACTCTGTTTTTCCATTTAGAGTCCGTTTCTTTGCTGAAAAATCCCCCAGTAGGTGACTCCAGCCAGACCTCGGGGGGCTCCACATCAGAGGGCTCCTCTGTAGGTTTCAGGCCGGTACCGAAGAAGAGGACGCTCCTCTTGAGCCGCAGTCAGTTAGAAAACAACAACCAGCTGGGGTTGGACATCCAGGTGAGACCTGCAGAGATTGTTCCTGCTCCAAGACGACACCACCAGCAGCAATCCATCCCATCCGGCCTTAAGAGCAAAGATGAAACGTCCCAGGAAGGTGTTTTAAATCCGTCTGTTCAACCATCCAAAACACGAGAGGAAATTTCTCTGCAGCCACTCTGTGATGGATCTCAAGTCTCTTCTAATTCAAGTCTGGAGAGAGAAAGAACAAGAGACAGGTCTGGGCCTACTTTTATCTAAAATAGTTAATCAAACTATCTTCTCTCTCCAGTGAAACTCTAATTCTTTCTTCCTGCAGACCAGCGGCGTACACCAGGACGGATGTGAACGCCAGGAGAGAAACAGCAAAGTGGAAGAACGATCGAGAAGATCTGAACCCAAGAGAGCGAGCAGCCTCGAACGTTGTCTGTGTTCCGGAGAGGTTCGGGAGACGGGAGAATCTGAATTTGATCCAAAGTGATGCTGGTAAGTTCGCTAGCACGAGACAACTTTAGGTTTTTTTTTGCAGACTTTTATTATCCTTCCTGTTATGATCTTTTAAATTTCTTTATTTTTTCCCATTACTCACGTGCTTTTCCCCTCGAGACCTTAACGTTTGACCTAAAACTTTAAAAAAAACACCACCTTTCCCACCACTGTCAAGCTGCTTTTTGTTTGATTGCTGCATAATAAATGTACGTGTTCATTTGCTGCAAGTCAAAGTATTATTTTCTCACAAGCTACTGCAAATATTCCAGGTTTAAAATTCTACTATTTAAAAATGCTCACATTTAAAACAGCAGCTGTTACAAAAATGCTTAAAAATTACATCAATTAAGGTAAATTCGTGGAAAAAAATAAGAACAACGATAGTACTGAAAAAAAAAATTAAAAGCATTAAAGAAAAAAAACATAAAAACAGAACAAAAATACTAAATCAACTCACACTGTGTGAACTGCCAGAGAAAACAGATGTGTTTTAGCAGATTTAAAAATGGGAAGAGAAATTGCCTGTCTAATGTTGGGGGTGCAGATTGTTCCAAAGTTTGGGGCCCATGACTGAAAAAGTCCGATTACCTCTGAGCTTCAATCTTGTTTTTGGAACAGCCAAAAGCAGATGATCAGATGATCTCATGGCCCGAGAAGGAACATATGGTTTCAGTAGTTCAGAGAGATAAGGAGGTGCAAGACCATTTATGCACTTAAAGGTTAGCAGGAACATTTTTTAAATCAATTCTGGTACGCACAGGGAGCCAGTGAAGGGAGGACAAAACTGGTATAATACGCTCACACCTACGAGTTCCTGTTAAGAGCCGAGCTGCAGCATTTTGGATGAGATGGAGACGTGAAATGGAGACCTGACTGACCCCAACATCGAGTGTGTTGCAGTAGTCCAGTTTGGTAGTAATAAAGGCATGGACTAGTTTTTCAAGGTCAGATTTGGACAACACTGGCTTAAGCTTTAGCTACCTGTCTTAACTGGAAAAAGATTTTCTGCAGAACAGAGTTGATTTGTTTATTAAACCTAAAGTCAGAGTCTAAGACCATTCCAAGATTTGTAACAGACTGCTTAAGATATGGCTAAAGGGTGTCCAGGTTTACAGGATCAGAGACGGCGGTTGAACTAGGGCTAAACATAATGACGTCAGTCTTCTGATCATTAAAACTTGACAAATGTGAAGCCATCCATGCCTTACTGTCGTCCAGACATTTTAACAGAGGGTGAATGGAGCAGGAACTAGTTCGTTTTAAGGGTAGATAAATCTGACAATCAGCATAACAATGAAATGAAGACCATGTTTCCTCAGGATAGACCCCAGAGGGAGCAGGTGGAGTGAAAACAGAAGGGTTCCAAGTATTGAGCTCTGTGGGACCCTGCAGGAAAGAGGCACTGAAGCAGATATATTATCACCAACCTTAACACAGAAATACCTTGAATCTGCAACAGAATTTCTTCGAGGGAAAAAAAATTGTTGACATTTTCACTTTTATTTTATTTTATTTTTCATTTTTATTAGCTTTCTGAATGTTATAATGACAAGTGTCTCTTCAAAAGTATGTGGAACAAAATGTAAAAGGGACTTTGTAACAAGTTATTTAATTAATGTATTTATTAATAAAATATTAGTCATATTTTTAATGTTACTCTTTTGTTTATCTAGACTTTACTGCATACCAAACTTTAGCACAATAGACTAACCTGTTTTAAATAAAGGTTGAAAAATGAGTAAAACCGACAGTCATTTTTTGTGCTTGTTACAAACGATTGTGTGGCGGCTATCTTTAACTGGGTTTACACAATCACAAGCATGAAGAAAAACATTATTTCCCACGGTTTTGCTTTTTATTAATGGCAAAAAAGAGGACAAAACAAGAGGTGCAGAATTTGTAGTTTATACTGTCAGCAAAAAATTAAGTCAAAAGTAAAAAACAACAACAACAACAACAAAGCCTTCAGTAAAATATTGAATTTTAAGTTTACATTTTATGGATTTTTCTTTTGTGGTTTGTGCTTGTAAAATACGTAGAAACAGATATTAACATTCTTACAGAAACTCTTTCCCGTGAAAACTGAACAGTTGTTTTACAATATAAAATTAATTGCTGGTCGGTAAGTTGGTATCCTGACTTTTTAATAAAACATTCAGGCAAACACCCGTCGGAGACAGTTGCCGCTCTCAGAGCATAAAATTTTTGTCTCACGTCTTCTTTTTCAGATCCAGATCCTCCAGTTTCTTATGATCTCAACTTTATTGATAAATCTACTCAGCAAAATCAGAAATCTAATCAGACAAAAGCTTTTAAATTATCCACTCAAAGCCCAAGTCCCACTGGTGAAGATGAGGACTCCATCGCAAAAGTGCTGGACTGGTTCAACCGCAGCACAGACAGCAACGACTGGCTGGACGCAGAGGATGATCCGAACGCCTCAGAGCTCTCCGACAGACACAACGCTGCCAGTAAATCCAGAGGGGAAAATGTGTTTGATGGAGGCGAACGAAAGGTGGAAGTGACCGAAACAAAAAGAAGACCCAGGAAAGGAAGCGAGGAGCTGACTGAAACACAAGGCGATGTTAGGGTGGACACAAGAGTAAGAAAACCTTTACAGGATGTGAGAGAGAACGCTGATGAAAACCAACCAATGAAAATGTCTCATCTGAAGTCATTCTGGGAGAAAACCAACACGGGACCAAAGGTACTCTTCAGTAAACAGGTGACCACTGGTGACACAGGAGTAGACTCGGATGCCCTGTCTGACCTTGAGAGGTACAGCAGGAATAAATACAGCTCAGAACTAAGTGATGAAAGAGAGCAACAGCTGGTCATCGACCAACTAAATCATCACCAGCAGGAAGAAACTCTGGCGATTAATTCAACTCAAAGAAAGAACAATGACTCAGCTCATTTAAAGCTGCTCCCCAGCACTGAAATACCCAACAGAAGAGTCGACAGTTTATATGTAACCAGACCCGGCTCATCGGAAAGATCCATTATCGAGTCTGAGAGCATCATCGAGTCTGAGAGCATCATCGAGTCTGAGAGCATCTCTGCGGTCAAACCAAACCTGCCTTCAGAGTTGAAACAATCGTTAAGCCAAGATCTGTCATCCATTATCCGTCCTGTGCCTCAACGGGATACTGAACCCCAAACAAGGGTCAGTCTAGACTCTGAGAGGCTCATTTTGTCTGGAAACAACTCTTTTGTGGACTATGATCAAGGTGGTAGTGAAGAGAAAGTCGCCACCGAAGCACAAATTCACAGAGGTTCAAGCGAAGACGTTAAAAAGGAGGACAATGAGGATAAAGACAAGCATTCAGGCTCGTCTCCTACAAGAAGGGACGGTGCATCGACTAAAGAGAAGACAAATAATCCTCACCTGAATCGGCAGGCATCACGGCACCAAGGAAGCAGAGCGGAGAGAATCAAGCAACTCAAATCCTTCTGGGAACAGGAGCGCAACAAGCCCATGTTTTATACAGGAAAACCCAAAGCTCTCGGAGATGGGAAAGTCACTCGTGGAGCAAGTCAGGCCAGACTGAATAAAAGATTTACAAAATCTGAATTCGACCTGACCTCAGTCGGAAATGAGTCGGGCAGCGACGAGGAAGGTAGCAATAAAAATGCTAATTTCACGGTTATCCCATTGAGTCAGAGGCTGGATAAGATGTCTCCGACTCTCAGCGCCAGTCGGGCCCAGTTCAACACTCTGCGGGAGTTCTGGGACGAGGCCACGTCCAACTCCAACTCCAAGGGACTGTTGACCCCTGACAAACTGAAAAGTCCCAAAAGAAATAAGCCCCTGCGAGCCCAGCTCTCGGCTGATGAGTTAAAAAGCTCTGAATCTGAGGTTTGTCCCTTCAGTGACGCTGTGGAGAAAACAAAAGGAGTCGTCACAAAGTCATACCCATCTCCTCAGAGTAGATCAAAGTCCCCATGTGACAGAGCGATGGGGCCTGGGTCAAAAGTACAGACCGACAGCAAAAACATTCTGATCAGTTATACGTCCACTGAGCAGAAACAGTCCAAAAGGAGCTCAAAAGAGTCCAGTCAAGAAGACAAGTCCTCGAAACCGCAGAATGGCAAAGAGATCCGATCCCCAAAGAGCAGAAAAGACCGCTTTAGCTTCTCCAGCAGCCATGGAAATTCTCTACGCCGTGCCACAAGTATGTTTGCCTTGAGTGTCGCTGATGAAAAAGACCAGCTGCAAATGGAGGTGAACCCCATCCAGTCTCAGAGCCGAAAGCCCAGGCAGAACATAGATAAAGGTCCTCTGCTGAGAAGATCCTCAGATGAGACAGAAACTGTGGCTCCACGGGCGCGGGCGTTTGTTCCAACAGACTACCGTCACTACCTGGGGATGACGGACACCAGCAGCGTTCATGCAGCGCTCACCCCCGTGATGAAGGACGGGTCGGAGGTCAGGTCTGCGTATGTTCTTGACCTGGACAGACCTGTGAGGGCCAGCACGCCATCGAGTTCAGAGGAGCGTCCCAGCAGGAAGTCAAACAAGATGAGTCAGCGTCCAGCATGGGCGAACAACAGCGAGTCCGACACCGGTCACGAGTCGTCGATCAGCAGCACGTCAGAGACCTGGTCCAGCTCCAGGACCAGCTCGAACCGTGAGCGCCATCTTTGGTTTTATTTAAATTTTCCTCTCTAAATGTGTTTTCAGGTTCACCTCAGTGAAGAATTTTGGTCATTCAGCACTGACCTCTTGTCATTTTCTTTTCTCTCTTGGTTTTAATTAAGAGCACAAGGCTGATGTACAGTAGTCCCTCGATGATCGCGGTCGTTACGTTCCACACACCACCGCGATAGACGAAAAACCACAAAGTAGGGACGCTGTATTTATTTTATTATTTATATATATTTTAAGGCTATATGACCCCTTCCCACACTCTTGCAATATTCTAAACTCTTAAACCTACATACTTTTAACAACATACGTATATGTACTGTAC